ACAGGGTACATTCAAGTACTCAATGAGTACAATCCAAACCAACAAAAAAAAGTTAGATTTTTCAAACTTCGATGCCAACTTCACATAGCTTACAAAAATAGTTCTATGACTTTTTGTCGTGAATCTGATGGTTACCGAGATAATCCGCGGTGTAACGTTGAAAATGAAAAGTATTTGTGAGTTTGGAGATTAACTTGGGAAATTAAAATAATACGTATTACAACTTCAAGATTATCAAACATATATATATTTTTTTCTCGTTTTATTAAACACAGAATCACAGAGCAAACTGGACATGTTGGAGGTGGGGTAGAGGATTCGATCGGTTTAATGTTAGAATTGGTTTTAACGATGTAAATTGAATTTTTTTTTTGTAAACCATATTGTCACCTCGCACACGACGAAGTCACGCCCGATTTCATCGTTCTGGGTTGATTCAATCAGATGAAAATTCATTTATAAACTGGGAGCGATCGATTGATCAATTAATACCTTGTGTCAAGGGCGTTATTGCAGTTTATTTGAGAAATAAGTGAATTTTGGTTGACGGGACCTCCTCGTGCTCTCAATGATTTTCACTTTCTTCTCCATGGGATTCAATTGGTTGGAAGTTTTCGTGTTTATTTACAAATTCAAGGCAATATTGTTAATGAGCTACATGCATACGTGTCCAACACTCTGGGATATTCCGCATTAATCTCTCATCGACAGGATAGAAAAAAAAAATGAAAAGAAAATTACCTCCAGTTGGATAAATTCAATAATTTTGTACAATAGATTTTCGTATTTGCAATTTCAATTATGCGGATTTTATTATCAAATATTTGCTATCTTTATGTTGATGAAGAATCGCATCTATGAAATTGGATTATTTCTTCTTTTTTCTTTTCATATAAAAAGTTCAATAGTTCAGCTGATTTATTCTTCATTCTGTTACGTCGATTCTCGTGCGCAAGCACCGTTTTACAACGGCAATAATCATTAGTATAATCTACTATCTGTTTATTGTTAATAATTATTATACCTTGGGATTATTATCGTTAATAATCTCGCATACTCACGCATACAAATTTTATTCAATCATTCGTTCTCTAGGTTTTATTCACTCTGTTGCTTATTCTCGTCGCCTTTTTCTTGTCAATCTTCTAGCCTAATTCCAACACTTGTTTATTTATTCAATAACTAATTGTGTCCACCCCATCATTTCCAGGCTCTGGCGCGGCCGAATTATAACGTAACAACTTTGTACTTGCAAGCAATCTTCGGGGATTTTATCGTTTACTTTTTTAGCTTTCGGTTGTATTTTTCGTTTTGTCGTGGGTTGGAGAATTTTTTTGATGGTGTAAGTACCGGTTAGTTAATGAGGCTGATTAGGATTTTAGGGGTGAGGAGGGGGAAAATGTCGTGGGACTTTCTGCTTTTGGTTTTCAGGAAGATTTTTTAATTGCTTTGGGAGATGCTCAGTCGTTCGGTCGCGAAATAAATCGACAAATAATTTTTGCTGATGATTTCTTGGAAATTTCTCGATTTAATGGACAAATTTTCAGGGGATAATTGATGAAAAGATTCATTTCCTGTCAATTATTCCCTAAAGTGTAATTGAAAGGAGAAAAATTTCAGGATTTTTCCCCTTTTAATGATATTTAATATTCAATTCATTTTTCTATTTTCCACGGTTTTTCCAAGTCAATCATTTTTAATTGAATGCCGAATTATCTCGAACAAGTGAAAAATCTCCTACAATTTCTCTTTTTCAACAGTATTCTCTGGATAATAAAAAATCTTTCGTTTCGCTTGAGTCCAATTTCTCCATGAAACAAAATTTTCTCTCGTTTACAAAGTGTATAATTATAAAAAATCGACGGAACCGCACTCCTAATCAATTATCAATAAACCCCTCGTCAATTACGGAAGCACCAATTTGTTCACTAATTTTTCATATCGATTTACAAAAGGAAAAAATGTCAAATAATCGTTAGCATTGTGAGATTGAGACCCAGTCGAGTTTATCGATGCAAACAAATTTAAACTGATAAAAAACACATTTACCGAGTGTTTTTATTCTGTCGTTTATTCAGATGTTTTCACCGTTCGTCCACTCATCTTCACATTTTCATTCCACTTTTAGTCCCAGCTGATACTCCCTACTGCTTAGTCCTCTATTTTTTTTCTCACAGGCATTATCTCTTAGTTATATCATTTTATCGGCTGGCACCCAATTTATTCTCTCGTAGGAAAATTAAATTTTACAGACTTTCACAACTTCCTCTTGCAACTTCATTTATTTAATGAAAAACCAATACCCCACGGGATGATATTAAAAAACCGGATGTGTAGAGGAAATGTCACTGATCAAATCTTCTCCCTTCTCCCTCCCTATACTTCCCCCTCATTGAAGTACGTATTGATGATCGATACGATCGATCAATAATTTTCATTTTGATAAGTACAACTGCTGCTTTCAATCATGAAATGATGACGTCAGGGGAGTAATAGGGAATCGTTGAGTACTTGGAGCCACACGAGGAATTACATATATAAATATATAAAATGCCACCGATTTATATAAAAGGAAAAATATTTAAAAAATATAACGTAATATAAAACATTTTTCATATATCTTATATATTTTCTGCATGAAGTATGAAAAAAATTTCCTATTATTTACGTATTTCATGTGTACTCTGTGTATATTTTAAAGAAATATACGAGACTGGCTCATTTTATATATTTTTAATGTATTTCTCGAGAGCAGGGGGAGGGGATGGGAATCACATATTTTAAAAGCAGTTCTTTTGAGATTTTCTTTTCGTTTCGGCTTGAGGCAGTTTATTTATTATTTTTTCTCTCTTGCTTTGACGAGGGGAAAGAGGAAGAATTGAAGGTAGAGGATAACGAGAGACAATGAATTCTCGAGGGCTTGGATGATTATTCATGGTACGATTGATGCTGCAATCTGAGACAATTAAATTTTTCTCATCGTACGTTACAAAAGACGTAACACTTGGAAGTGGTGATTGTAAAGGGGGAGGGGATATATTAACAGGGTTGATTGGCTCCTCGGAGTTATTGTCCATGTGGCAAGCTTATCATTGGGTGATTTAGTCGAGTCGATCGATTTGTTCGCGAAAAATGAAGATTGTTCGATTATATGGTGAAGTCGAGGCATTTTTCTTTTTCTCAACTCGTGGATATCTCTGGAACTATTGAGTTTACATAAAAATTCATGGGAAAGAAAATGCACATCACTGAATTTCCCAGATTTTATCTTCTCAAGATTTTTCTCTCAGACCAGCGACGTTCACGATAAGCCCAAATACCTGACTGAATTGTGATTTGAGGTCAATGCAGAATCGCACCTATTAATTTAGCAAATATCTCTGTAACCAATGGTCGGAGAGAAAAATTTTGTAAGAAATTATTCGGAGAGAATCAAATTATCCACAAGAAAATTTCTATCACTTTTTCTCGTAAACCCGCTCGTTTCCGAGATAACTCCTCTTTACTCAAGACTTCACCACTTGATCATCATTTTTTAAAAATAATTCTCGAATAGATTTTCAATTCTCTGGAAGATGACTACCTATCACTACTTAATGATATCATAATAATGATCGTCAGGAGACTGAAAGAATTCACTGATATGCATACAATATCTAACAAAAAAAAAATTAACGACCGCACATTAACGAATAAAAAAGCGTCTCTCGTAGTTTAGCCTCTGGAGATTTAATCGATTATTTTGCATCGACCTTGGCTCTCACTTTTTTCCTCGTATACATTTTCATAGGGCTCTATCACTCCTCCATTGTACTCCAAGTTTTTCGCTAATCAATCCAAAATATTTGGGGATAAATATTTCGCCACATGGAAGCCAAAAGGCATTAGTCTTTCCGTTGATTAATGAGCGTTATCAATGAATTATCGTCGACAATCAGTCGTTTGTTCAATTGGTAGACTAAAATTTGAAATGGGGAGGGGTATGTTATCCTCTTCAACTTCCTCAAGACGACAATGAATAATTAATTATCTCGATTGATTGACTCCAGCAGTTTGGAGTTGATTTTTAGTGGCTGGATTTTAGCTCGTTACCGAATTACTGTTGTCGATAGAACGGCATGTGAGTCCAGTTGCCCTAAGTATACCATCGAGAGCCCTCCTCAGGGTGCAGCGTGATGCGACGAGGCTGACCGCGAGGCCAGGCTCTCGTCTTGGCTAGGATGCACCTATTGAATCACCACCTGGGCTTGAACTGTTTTGCATTTGTCCAGTTACTTGATTGTACGGATGATTGCTGCTGCACATAACTGTGTAGATGTTGTCGACAGTGTTTAGCCTCTCGAAGAAGGGGATTAGGTCGAGGAGCTCCGAATCTGTCATGTCGTCGAACCAAGAAGCCACTGGCACCTGAAATTCAATTTTTATAAATCTTCTGGTGATTTATTGAAAGTACTCGAAGAACGAGGGGAGCTAGGAAAACATTTCCCAGAAAAAAAGAGGGGGAAATCAATTCTCTTTAGAAATGGTTATTAGGATTTTTTTGTAAAACCTGTACTGTTCGAGATAATCGCAATTTAACGAGATCTGGATTATTGGCTTCGTTGGGAAATTGGGTTTCAGAAAAGTACAGATATCTCAGAAACGCAGGAGTTTAGAGAAAAATGGTGTAGGTTTCATTTTGCTGAGAATTCAATTCTCGACAAGAACTTCTTCTCACGTTTTTACGTGCATCCAATTTTTCTTGAGATTTTCGCGTAGTTAATTGTGCAATCGATACTTTCTCGCTGTTACAAGGAATCCAAGAACAAGAGTTAATTTTTCTGGTTTAATGTAACAGGAATAGTTCACTGGGTTGATTGGCTTAATTGAATTTCGTGATTTTATGGTGATCGAAGGTATTCTCTGACCATGTGATGTGAATTTTTATTCAGAGACAAAAACGTAAAGCTGATAAAAAAAAGGTGTTTGATTGAATTCCTCACCGCATTGTCCGGGTGAAATATATAGCTCGCTGGGCTATTGTCGACGATGATGATCTGTTGAAGGTCTCTGCCTAGTTTATTCAAATCCTTGACATAATTACCCCGGTGAAATACGCATGATTCTCTGAAGAGTCGCGCTCTGAAGACTCCCCATCTGTCGAGCAGATCTGCCACTGGATCTGCGTACTGTGGGGTGCAATGAAATGTCATTAACACACTTTAGGTAATTGAGAGATTCATTAAACAAATGGCTCTGAGCAACTCCTTTGCAAACTTCAATTAACCTTCAATCAATTATTTCCCCGGTGAAGAATTTCTAATTCATTTGTAATAACTATTTTTATCTTACAATCCACTTTAAATGAAAGGTCTAGTAATTATTCCGGGGGGAAACAACTTCGGAATTGATGTTGAAGCGACAATTTAAAATCAATTATAACTCATAATATTTGTGATAAATTCCGTAAACGGAATGAAATTAAATGAATCGTCATCTAGGAATAATTGTGATAAACAAGTGGTAGAATCTCATGAATATTTTTTTTCATCTTGAATGGTCTCTAATTGACACTGACCTTAGCTAGACTCGCTGTGAACAGTACACACTCGTATAATTCTCCCATTCTCTGCAAAAACTCATCGACGTAAGGCCTCTTTAAAACATACACTTGATGCACTGTTCCATCAATTTCAACTGGTACAACAAAGTCAGCATTGTTGATGGGTTTAAATGAGCTGTGGACCAGTGTCTCATCAAGATCAATCACCATACACTTTTTGTGCATATCCTGGTGTCTGACTGGTGGTAGAAGGAATCTCGGTGAGCCAGTGCCAGGTGGTGGTGTACCTCTTCCATCACCCTGGAGTGAGCTGGCTTTTGAGCTCTTTGAGCTACCACCTCTTCCTCTACCCAGACAGCACAGCAGGGAACGAAGAAGTCCACGTCCTCGGGGCTTCTTTCCCGGTGGTCCATTGGTGCTCGGTTCATTCTCCCTTGGTATTTGTGCTAGGGAAAAGGTTCAGTTTTTATCCATTTTTCTATTCTCCTCAGGGACCCGGTGCTCGGGAATTGATAATAGTCGAAATACTAGAGATTATTTTCTAAAAATTCTTCCTAATTTATCCCAAAGAAGGCGAGCCCAGCTGATCGGTATATTTTCTGGAAATATCTCGGAATTTGAAAGAGATACCAAATTTTTCGTCATGATCTTTCTTGTAACACTCAATTAATTCAACCCAAGAGGTTTAGATGAAAATTTCGATATCTCCCTTGGATTGGGAGATATTCCTAAAAAACTCTATTAGGCAGCGAATCCACTCGTTCTTCACTACAACTACTGAAGCCTCTCAAAAGGGAGCATCGAACGAAAAAAAAAATTCAATTCCACTCTAGCATTTCCAAATAATTTCATTTTTAATCAATCCCTCCTTCATCCCCATATTTAACCCTCGAAAGTAGTGACGATCATGCCCCCTCCCGTAACAGGTGTATGTACACCCGAACCCGAAGGCACACGAGCCCATCTTCTGTCCAGTGCCCTCGCACTCAAAAAAAAAAGAGTCAGACAGAGAGAGAAAGAAAGAAATAGAGAGAAAGAAAAATAAATCTCTAAAAAAAAACGGCAAGATCGAAGAGAGTGGGAGAGAGAGAGAGCCAAAATCGTCACACCCAATTCCGCTTCTCGAATGCCTCCTACCTTTCTCGTTATTGAAGTGTCCCAACTCGTCATCCCTCGACACTTGAGTGATAATGGACGATGCGTCCATTTAAACCATTAGCTTGTCCTCTTGTCGTTCGTGGTTTTAACGTTTAATAAAAATTGCCTGTGCGCAATAGCCCTAACAAATGTAAAAATACATTGACTTATTTGGACTGAAAATACCAATGCCACATACACTATCAACTTGCACTTTGGGACAACTGTTTTCACTCGTTGCCGCCACAATATCCAGGGTAACACAGATGGATTAGTAAACGTGGGTGCTGTGGCACAACACAGCCATTCGAGTGCATTCAGTGGGTAATGATGCATGCATCCGATTTTTATATTTATTTATTGATTTTTTTTAATGGCTATATTCCGGATGGAATATATCACTGTTGGCCCGAATATTATCACTGTTTCGTTAACTGTTCGGCTCTTTCTTTCTCTCTTGTCGAGTTTTTTGTGGAATTTTTTCTCGTATTTTTCAATCATGTCTCGCGGCCAACCGCGGACACACTGATTCTGTGGTGTTAAAGGGACTTACCCATGATTTACATTAGAGAGGATGGATCTGAGGAGAGGCTTGGATTCGAGGGTTGACGTGACGCCAGGAGTTTTCGTAGAGTCTCCATGGGAGAGAGGGCGCGACGATTTGAATCCAGAAAATTAGAACTAAAATCGAGTTATTTTTCAAACTGATCTGTTAGCCATGGTTATAACAACCAGTATTTAGCCGATGCCAATTTCCTAAAAATTGCCTAAAATCGATTCAAATTGCCTCATATCGCTCTCTCATGACGCCAATCGACTTAAATCGACTCATGTCGACTCATGTCGACTCATGTCGACGGAATCTACTCGATAGGAACTGATAGACACTGTACAGCCCTGATTTTAGTTTCGATTCTTTTTCCTACTTAAGCCTCAGGAGGTGTGAGGCTCTCAGTGTTTTCTCGTCGTTCAAGAATAAATAACCAGTCTATATTAAAAAAAAAAATTATTTATAATTCTGATTTGATTGGACTGGTTATACCGAATGAGTCTTTTCATCTTGATAAAAGATTGTTACGCCCTCCTTCATACGGGGTCTGCACTAAGATTTCTAGGATCACACCATTACCGACATGTTCTTCGCCTCAGGTTTATCCTCCTTGGTGTATAAAACAATATATGCAATTTTATTATAGGGGGCACCACCTCGTATGAAAATTACGAATTGTTATTGTTTGTGGGGGTATTTATTATTAGGACGCTGGGCTGTTTGCTTTTTTGCGTCTCTCTCGCGTTTTTGTGTCGGCTCGGGCCAGGGAATAGGATTTTAAATGGCTTGGAATTTTTTTTTTTTAAGATTTGGTATAATTTTTGGGAGGAGCAAAATACATTTTTTCAATTAATGATTAATTGAAAGTGGTAAAGGGGAAGTGGAGATTTTTTTTCTGGTTCTGGAGAACTTTTAGCGTTTTGGAACTAATATTTTGGATTTAGTTAGGGGGACCGGAAGTGCTTTGGTAGTGGCATAGGGTAGTGCGCATTTAGCGGAGTTGAGAGGGGAATTTTAAATGGAAATAGGTTTCACTAATAAATGAATAAGTGAGCTTGCGGGTGGTTCTCGGAAAATGTTTCTCGTGAAAAAATGATTTCGCTTCATTCGTGGTTGTTTCTAAGATAAATATATTTATTTACAATTTTTTTAATCGTTCTGGAGACCGAATAAATACTTTACCACCCGTAAACATTGATTTTGCTGCCTGGGTGGGAAGGGATTGTTTCATTGTTATCACTGATATTGTGCAAAATGAATTGAGAATGTATAAAATTGGCTTGAAAAAGTCACGTACAAAATTCGAAAAGTCGGAATGATTTCACGCTGTTTCGCTGACTAAGACTACGGAACGTGCGGATTACCCAATTATCAAGCAATCAACTAGTCGCCGCGATTAAACACAAACGGAAATACTGAAATGCATGAGAAAAAAATTTGGGGTAATTTGCGCGTCCGTAGAATTTAAAAATCCCACAGGCATTATAGTTATCTAAAATAATAATGTTTCGGTCACAATGAGTGAGCCCAACTCTTACAAATTATTGAATCACTTCAGAGCTGCCTTTTTAATGGTATTAATTGCTACTTGTTCTTCATCATCATCGTTCGACGTGTAATTCTTCCGCAGAACAAGCCCATTATGAAAATTATTCCTATTAACGTGAATGCTACTATCAAAAAATATCTTCTTGATGGCGATTGGTTGACTGTTGTATACAGCTCCTCTATCGTATTCGGCAAATGTAACTGGAACAAAAAACATCAATTGTCATTTGTTAAGGAAAAATTGATGATTATTTTTTCTTTCACCTTGGCGACATTTTTAAACATCTCAATTCGTTTTGACAGCATTTTAAAACAGTCTGGGTCAAGTGGTTTTCTTCCATCATCCATAATATTTTGTAAACACATGATATCTGAAAACAAAAAACACAACGGCAGTTTTGTAAAGCCATTAAAACACGTTCAAGTGGAAAGAAAAACCGAAAAATTATTGACTCACGTCTTCCGGAGCCTTGAGCGATATCGCTGCAGTACTTAGCAACATCATTCGAACATGCTTTATGTAGTAATGGATCAAAATGAATATCGGCCCTAGCTTCTTCTATGAGATCCGCAATCTCGACTCGGCACTCCTCCCTCATCTCAGGATTACCCTTATTGAATTGCATTTTGAGGCACTCCTCTACAGTGTCGCTGTCGTCCTCATCAGAATGACAAATAGTGTGAATTTCATGACTGCACATGCTCACAAGTAAAGGATTGAGATGATAGTTGTGCGCTGCTTGTTTAAGGATGACAGTCATCTGTTTCTGGCATTTGGGCCTGAGCTTGCCCTCCCTGAACTTTATTCTGAGACATCTGATGACTTTTCCCTCGAGCTCCTTATCGGCAGGCTCGTTATGAACTACTTTATCACACTGTGCAACAATATCATGGGCGCAAGCAGCATGAAGTGCACCATTAAATCTGTAATCAGTATTTTGCTCGATCATTCTCCTAACGACGACGTCCTTGCACTTTTCGTCGAATGAGTCCTCATCTTTGACACCTTTCAAACAGTCTAACACCTTGGACTTGTCTGGCTCTCTCTGGCAGAATTGTCCTATCATGGATCTGCAGGTGTTCCAGAGTAAAAAGTCACTTGAACTATCCAAGAACTCTTGCTGCCTCACTTTGAATAGCTGCTTATGACAGATACTTGAGAGTTTAGCTTTGCGGGAAGCTAAACACTCGAGAATCTGCGAGTGGCCAGCTTCAATGTTGAAGCAGTACTGCTTGATCTCACTCTGACAAGCCTTCTGTAGCAGAGGGTCCAGTTTGATATTTTCACGCTGCTGATACAGCTGCCCTCTCAACTGCTGTCTACAGTCCTTGAGAATCCTGTGCTGGCTATCTTTCATTATATCTTCCCTCAAAATATCACTCAGGCATTCTATAACTTCCGCCTTGGTTCTGGCCCTGTGGCAGAATCGATTCACGTAGGGTCGGCAGGCCTCTTTAAATTTGTACGTGAAATGATAATTTTTCAGGGAAATAATCTGAAAGTGCTCGATAGCAGCCTTGCACTTATACTCAAAGTGACTATCAAGATCGTTCTTATGTTCGATAAGACACTCCATCATGTCTCCCTCGTCCTTTCCATTCTTAAGTACATCCTCACAGTGTTTGTCCATCGCCTTTCGACAGGCTGCCATGATGATGGGATTTAACTCTACTCGCTCAGCCTGATCTTCAGTCAAATTGTTCACAGCTTGTTTGCACTTCTCATTCAATTCGTCCAGATTATCTTGTAGACAGAGAATCTCCTCCCCTTTGGCTGTCTTATCGTAGCAATTATCCGCAAGCTCCTGGAAACAGGCTTGTTCTATTTCTGGTTGGAGATCGACGCTGATTGCTCGTTGTCGCATGATTCTTTTGATCTCTTGAAGGCACTCTGGCCTCAGTGTTGCGTTCTTCTGGTGATCCGCGTAGCGATAAAGACAAGACAGCACTAGAGGTCCTCTCTCTGGATCCAAGCTCCCTTCTTCGTTCCATGCTATCTTGGCGTTGCACAATTGCACAGCATCATTCCTGCAGGCTTTGTACAGTTGAGGGTCTAGCTTGTAGTCCCTTGCAACAAAGTACTGAATCTGCAGGAGAGCTGTCTCGCAGGCTTCCAACATTCTGTCTGTTCCTAATTTATCCATCAGACAGTAGATTACCCTCGCGTTTCCTCCTTGTACATCTCTGCACGAGGAATCAACTACTGGTTGACAAGCGTCATGAAGGACGGGGTCTACTCTCCAGTCCTCCCCTGCGTCTGTCTCTTTGATAAGGGTCTCTAGAGCTCTCTGACATTCCGGTAAAACTTTGTTCTTCTGCTTCCTCGATTTGGTGTGCTCCATTAAACAGTGGATGGTCACTCCTCCTTGCTCCAGTCCATTGCAGAAACGAGATATGTCTTTGGCACAACCGTCGACAATTTCCGGTGACAGGTGGTAGTCTTCCAAGAGAATTTTTCTATGATCGAACATTTCCTTTTGGCATTCGGCATCGATTTTCGATCCATTTTTAGCCGCTGTCTCAAGGCACAGCAGGATCTGGGCAAGTTTGATCTCCTTGTCATCAGATACTGATCTTCTACAATGATTTGTCTTGATGTCATCCTTGCACGCTTTCACCAGACCCTTTGATGCTTTGTAATCAGAAGCTATGAGCTTCTCTCTTCTGGCCAACTGATCCTGGCACTGCTTCGACATTGTTCTGTCTAATTTGTGCTGCATCAGGCATTTATACACCTGACCACTTCCTGGGCGGATATTAGGACAGAATTTTATGTGGTCCTGCATGCAGGCGAGAAAGAGCTGCCGATCTAGCTTTATGTTGTCTGATTGGATCTCGGAGATCTTGAAGATTCGCTTGCGGCATTTTGGCTCCAGTTTGTCAACGTGCGCCTGCAGGCAGGACAACATCTGACCCTGGGATACATCGCGGTGTGGCTGGATTCTACCGCATTTGAAGCTGTTTATGTCCTGTTGACAATCGGTTACCATTGGTGTTATTATTCGGAAGTCGCTGAATGCTACGAACTCGAGGCGTTGAATGAACTCGGAGCACTGGGCGTTTTTAACGTTTTCTCGTTTCTCGATTAGGCATGCTAAGTAGGTACCGGGTTCTTTGTTTTTGGATTGACACTGGAGATCATCAATCTCTTCGCCGCATTCTTTTCGGGTTAGCTGTTCGATGTTTTCGTTTTCCGTGATGTTCACTATGTGTTTCCAGATCAGGTGCTGACAGTCTTCATCGATCATATAGGCTTCGTTCGTCTAAAAGATTTTTTAGGAACAAAATTATGATATTGAAATAATTTCCATAATTTTATTTCTTTCAATTTCTAACCAGTTAAAAAAATGACAGAAATGATTTTTCCACCGGCGGATAAGAGGAAAAAATTACCTTGAATGTTTGAACGCATTGTAAGATAAACAAATCGTCGTTATTGTTATCAATAACCCCACATAGTCGTTCGAATGAGTCTCGACACTTTTTATCCTCAATAAAGTAACGTCCCCCCTCATCGGGTGGCTTGACAACAACATTTCTCCGCCTCCGTGATAACTCATCATTACCAAATACCCAACCAACATTCGTATACTCTGGCGAATTGACTCCCTGTGTCACGTCATTAGCCAGAACACCGGCATTTATCAGTATATCAGACAACACCTGAAACAATAAGGCTATTCCTACGCCAGCCAATCGCCTCGAGAATTCCATATTCAATGCTAAATTGATGCTAGATGTGTTTTAATGCCTTCCGCATTACAATTTAAGTCGCGATGTCGAGCCACACTGAGAATTATATTCTTTTTATTATTTATGATGTCACGATTTATCCGAACTTTGCGCGTAAACTAGAGGGTACCAGTGGGTGTCAGACGCATGACCATAGAACCGCAAGTGATTGCAAGTGCTTGTTCAAAGTTTTACTGAAGAGTCTGGCAATTGCAAGCAAAGAGGACACACTGATGTAGAGGTTGAGATCTCAGGTTCGGATGACCCCTAGCCGAGCGTGATATTATCCCGTGGAAGGGATGGCGTTTCAAGCGATTTAAGATTTAAATGGGCCGAATGTGTTGGTAACTTGTTAGCAACTGACGACCAGGTACAGAAATTACCAGCGTCTGTGCAAAATTTTCAATGTGAAATTACAAGTCGTACTGGTGAATAAAGCAGAGCGCGAGGTAGAGTCGTAGATCGATCTGAAGCGAATAATGTCCGCGTCCCAAATTTGTCCGCCGGCAAGGCCCCAGACTCACCAGCAAAACCGATGGCATTTAAAAAAAAAACATCTGGAACCATTTCTTTTTTCTTCCATTCGATTACTATATTCCTTAGGCATATTTTCTTAGAATTAAAACGAAATTGGATGTCTGCAAGGGGATCAGAGATTGATTTGAAGTTCATAATGTCCTCGGCTCGGATTTGCAAATCCATCAGCACCTCTGCTTAACTCGATCGGTAAAATTTTACCCGGATCAATAGGTTATCCTCGACACTTGACAATACTGTTTGAAAAAATGACCGCGAGATGTCATAGGGTATTCTGAGAAAATTCCAAGTATTTGTGTTTTCACTCACGAGATGGGCCTGCAGAGGTTTCCGATAATCTTGTTGACATTGACAGAAGCTTATATTACTGTACAAAACGGTCAGAGCATTTCCACCGTTATTTATTATTCCCTAAAATGGTCATCAGCCCTTTAAATTTCTCGACCTTCATATTACAACAAATATAATGATCATTTGAAAATATATTTCAGAGCAAAAAAATTGCAATCAAAATCTTTCAATATAAACTATTTTCCAAATATTTTCCGTAATAAACTAAAGAAAAATGATTTTCCCAATCAATACTCCTCATTTTTCTTATAATCAATTTTTGTTATGGTTCACCCTGGAATGCATTTTAATGGGTGACAATTTCTTCAACTCTCAAGATTTTCACCTCAGAGATTACGAAGTAATGATTAAATGATCGATTATCACAAATTTTCGGACAATTCTTCACATAGGGCCTTACAGATTCAACAGATAACGGTATATCGGCTTATTAGGTTATCTATTCCCTCGTGTTTCTTAAGCCATTAAGTTTAATGACGATTTCTCCGGGGGGTCGGTGAGAGAGAAAGAGTGTG